AGGCTATCAACAGTGGAGAAGGAAGAAGTAATGTACCGAATCAAACCTAGCATTTTTAAGCCTTGTGAGAATATATAGTTAATATGCTGGTGAAAATAGAGCTTACAGTCCAGTAGAACACCGAGATCTTTAACACAATGGGAGCGTGCCACCAGGTTGTTACACAATTTGTAATTAAAGTAAATACTGTTTGTCTTCCGAGTGAATGATATAACAGTAGTTTTACTTAAATTAAGTTGCATCCCATAATAATAATAACGACGACGACGACGACGACAATTAAATATATTATTTAATACTAAAGCCGGCGGTCCCACTTCGTAGATTTTCGGCATGCGGTGTGTTAATTCTACGGTACTTTAGGTTTAGATCGTTGACGTCATATTTGGTTGTCTGTTGATTCGTGATTCGTTGTGATTTTTGGATTTCTGTAAACGTGTAACTGTTACATGACTGAAATCAATGACGCAGATAACACCTCATCGCTAATTGACTGTTTACGTTACCGTTTCAGTTACAAACAGAACGCCGTGACTCTTTCAAGAGCATTTCGTGATCGTCCTATGTCTCCTCTGAACACCGCCATATTCTGGACCGAGTACGTCATCAGACATGGAGGGGCGTCGCATATGCGATCTGCAGCACTTTACTTAACCTGGTATCAATATTTGTTACTGGATGTCATTTCAGTTTTATTCCTGTTTGCAGCTGGGAGTCTAATTACAGCATACGTTATAATTAAGAGATTACTGCAGCTTCTGAAGTTAAAATCGTCTGACAAAGCAGAAAGTAAGAAATTAAATTGAGCTTTTAACTGACTTGTCAGTAATTATATTTATTCTCATCTGGTAATAAAGGATAAACATGGGAGCAAAACAAAAACTAATTTTTGAAGAAAACTTAGAAATGGAGCTTGTGTTAATTGTATGATTTGACTTAACTTGGGTTTGTTTGTCACATACATTTATTTTTAAAGAGTTTTGCAAGGCGATGAAAGGTGCTGGATGCTTATAATATGATGGATATGCGTTATCAACTTCACGTGTGTGTACATTCTATACAAACATAAAAAGAACCACAAGAATTATAAGAAATGTTATGCTTACAAGGAGTATCATCACAACATAAATTTTGAACATGGCTGTCTTCTGGGTTCTTCTGCCGTGTAGTCTGGTAGAAGTTTACTGACGTTTCGGAGTTCCTTGCTGCTCCCATCATTGGGGCGATGACGGAGGGAGCAAGGACCTCTGAAACGTCGGTAAACTTCTACCAGACTACATGGTGCAACAACCCAGAAGACAGCCATCTTCAGACTCACCGCCGTGAAAACCTCAAATCATACAACATATATTTTATGCAGATGAAATATTATTAAAAGTGTGCTATTACTGTTTGAACACTATTTTCTTGGCTGAGTACAAGATAAACTAAACAATTTATGTAGCAAATTATAATACAAAGTAATACAAAGTCCGCATATATTTATAAACAGTGCATGTTTTACGTCTCTCGAATGTAGGCCTTAAGCTTTTGTCTATCACGAAAGCTGTGAAGATTCACAAGATTCAAACACGAAAAACTACATACCAAATTTCACAACTTGTTTTGTTACCATTAAAATCCACAGGGGAAATAGATTAATTTTTTGTACATTTGTATATTAAAATTGTCGATGCTACTGTTCTGGGCTGCGACGCCATATGGACTTGGCAGGTAGATTCCAATTTCTTCAGGCTTGGAGAGAGTGTTGGCGTTCACCTAAAGGTTTACATCGTGTCATAACCCAGAAGAACAGTATCGACATCTTCACCGACGTGAAGACCTCAGATCACATATAATATAATATTCTTACATGTATTAAGTAGAATGAGTTGAGATGAACGATTCTTATTAACATGTGTTCTGCTAGGTGACTGAACTCTGTCTCGAAAATACAAGTTTAATATATCCCACTAAAGTAATATTTATGGTGTATACTATAATATAATAACAATAATTAAATATTTCATTAGAGCAGGGGTTCTTAAGTCTTTCGAAACGTAGGGCCACATTTGCCCTTATTTATCGAATCGTGGGTTGCATGATTATAAATGGGGATAATTTATCGAAACTTCAAAGCAATTTATCATAAATGCTATTAAATTATTCCATGCCTACGATCGCAAACATTTTTATGTGTTACTCGACCATTTTCATTAAAAATATAAGTCAGTGAGATACTGAAATTCCTTATGCTTCAGTAATATTTCAGTATCAGATTTAATTTCTGTTGTTACGGATCCTTCAAAACATGCACACGGCCACATGTTTGGCGGATCACGGGTTGAGAACCCCTGGACCAGAAAACAAAATGGCGTCGGGATGTATTCATCATTCTATAATTTTTTAAAGTGTTTAAAAGTATTGCAGCTTTTAACAAAATCCGCCCTCTCTGCTAAAATAATGACTACAAAATTTCAATTAAACTTATGTGTCAAAACTGATAATTGCTAAGGAATCTTTCTACTGAATAACTTTGTAGTGTGATATTTTGAGTGTCAATTCGGCAAGCGTAGTCTTCTAATATTATAAATGTGTATAGATCTTTGTTTTTACTTTGATATATACTGAAAAATAACGACAGAATTATTTGTTGAAGTAGTAGATATTAATAAAGATTGTTCATATACAACTGCAGTAAATAATTATTCAAACCTCACCGAATTCTGTAAGGGCATTGCTTTATTTCTCCTAATTTTCTTTGTACTTAAGCTTTATCTATTTGAAGACCAAATAGCAGACATGTAATCTCAATGTATACTGTGAGATTATCCGTCCTCAGGATAAGTAAGAAGATGACTGTCATATGGGAGGTTTCGCTGTGTAGTCTCGTAGAAATTAACAGACGTTTCAGAGGCGCTTACTGTCTTCACAATCCATGGTGATGATAATCGCCAATTGACGGACAGACTTGTATGGGCGCATAAGACGTTCGCTCACTCTGCAGCAAGAAGAGATAATTTATACTGCCTCAAATTCAAAGGCAACCTCTGAAACGTCGTGTACTTCTGTGTTTATAGTTTTATTCTGACAACAGAACTTAACCAAGCTGTCTTTTCGCAAATGTAAAAATCACTCATCATTGGGTTAAGATAATATGTTAATCCACAGGAAAACACAAGTGATCTGAGGGGTTTCAAACATTTAAAAATATTTAACGGTATATAAAAAAAGAAACTTACGCACAAGGACAAGGCAGTAAAACTTCGATTACTCAATAAATCCTTTTTTATAATCGAATCCTATTCCACAAAATCTGTGACTGTTCAAAAGGGTTTTCGGAGAAAGTTACAAAAAATCCTCCATGAGCAAATTCAATTAACTTTACAGATTTGAGTTGTCATTTTACTACAAAGTCAATAGTTGTTGCGCGCCTAGTGGCTAGCTACAAAAATTTCTCTTTTAAGTTCTCGTTCTAATGGTATAAGTTTTATTTCTGTAGGTACTTCAGATTTTGTTAAATAAATATTTGAAATAGCTCAGATAGTTTGTGTCCCACTCTGTATAGTTCCGTAATCACAGTCATTTATAACAGTAGCCGTTTTAGAATTCCTATCTACTTACGGATATCGACAGACAAATTCATTCAAATTCTTGAAACGATGTTCCATGCCTTTATCTTTCCACAAGAGCAAAGGTTTGAAGACCACAGGAAAGCCTGCAAATTAATGTTCTGGCTAAAATGTGGTAACCTTATCATGCATTTATTAGATAAGAAGCGTGTTGTTTGGTCCAGTGGTTATCACGTGTATGTAGATTATAACTGAAGGTTAGGCGACCAAGTTCATGTTCAATAGATGGAGGACAAGTGACGTGTGGTGATGCATTTTACTTGCATTTAGAAACAACCCAATTTGAATCTCAATCGAAAAACCTGCTTTTGTGACTGAGGTCCATCATGATATCGAACACTGGCTGATCGATTAGGATTCTGCCTCCTAATGGAGAAATCACGGGTTAAGATCATAGAATGGCTAAAGACTCTGCATACTCAGGATTTGTCATAATTTCTGGTCCCAAAAGGGAAATGACGGGAATCAAGGCAATACAAATGGCGTCGTTAAACACAAGAAATTAATACAGATTGTTGTTTTCTGGTTGTTCACTGTCCTTATGCAGTCCTGAAGATGGACGTAGCATGTTCCTCCGAAACGTCGTTTGTCTATCCACAAGACCACACGGAGGAACAACCCAGAAGATCACAATCTGAAATATCAAGGTCGTGAAAACTCGCATCTCAAAAAAAGTCGTTCATGACGACTTCCCACAGTTCCACAAGGAAAATAACTTCAGGTTAAACACGAGTGTCTCACAATATTTTTGCTGTCATCATCGTCCGTACAAACCACGTTTTCAGGCACTTCTACCATGTCGTCATGGTCGTTGAGGCGTCCTTCGCCAAAATCAAGTAAGAATTTAGTCCATTTTATAGCTTGAGATGTGTCACTAGAAACAACCCAATTTGAATCTCAATCGAAAAACCTGCTTTTGTGACTGAGGTCCATCATGATATCGAACACTGGCTGATCGATTAGGATTCTGCCTCCTAATGGAGAAATCACGGGTTAAGATCATAGAATGGCTAAAGACTCTGCATACTCAGGATTTGTCATAATTTCTGGTCCCAAAAGGGAAATGACGGGAATCAAGGCAATACAAATGGCGTCGTTAAACACAAGAAATTAATACAGATTGTTGTTTTCTGGTTGTTCACTGTCCTTATGCAGTCCTGAAGATGGACGTAGCATGTTCCTCCGAAACGTCGTTTGTCTATCCACAAGACCACACGGAGGAACAACCCAGAAGATCACAATCTGAAATATCAAGGTCGTGAAAACTCGCATCTCAAAAAAAGTCGTTCATGACGACTTCCCACAGTTCCACAAGGAAAATAACTTCAGGTTAAACACGAGTGTCTCACAATATTTTTGCTGTCATCATCGTCCGTACAAACCACGTTTTCAGGCACTTCTACCATGTCGTCATGGTCGTTGAGGCGTCCTTCGCCAAAATCAAGTAAGAATTTAGTCCATTTTATAGCTTGAGATGTGTCACTCATGTTTTCAGACAATGACGTGACCTTAAAGTGTTTCCACAAAGGCGAATATTTTATTGTTGAATGTAATGTTGACGTTTTGTTTGAATTACGTAAGACAGGTAAAATCTGTCTAAAGTCTCCACCGAGCAACATAACTTTACCTCCGAAGGGTAAGTTACAACGTGTGAAGTCTCGCAAACTTCTATCGAGTATATCCATACAATACCATTGGTGCTTCGTCCCAAATAAATACGTCTGTGTCTATCAATTCTTTTCCTCTGTTATCCGTTATCGAAATGCTGGACGTAGAAAGTTGTCTGACCAAAAACAGTTGGCCTCTGAACAGCGACGTAATAAACTAAAACATCAGACCTATTTAACAGATAAAGAAAACCGAAGGAAGACTTACATTGATAAACGAGACCATATTAACAACATACGTAGAAACACAGACGAATATTTGCAAGGGTGGGGGTGGACGTAGAAAGTTGACAGACCAAGAACAGTTGGCCTCTGAATAGCGATGTAAAAACTTAAACATCAGATTAGAGAAAGCGCTCCGAAAGGAGCGCGTTGCTCTAGTCTTCAAAAAATGACGTCACCAACAGTGTCACCTTATATTTGTTTATACTCGGCATTGTTGTGGAACACAACAAAGCCGAGTAAACAAATAACGTAATAAATAAACAACTACCAAACCAGTCGCATTATCACTGCTCCAGAAGCAGCAAATCGTCCCCGAACAGCGACATAAAACTATTTAAGAAATGAAGAAAAGTGAAAGAAGACGTTACCAACACCAACAAGGTAATCTGATACTAATAATAATATTCATTCAAGTCATACTGCTCATTCGATTATTACGAAATCTGACGACTCTGTTTTTAAATTATATTTAGGCGATAAATACAATGAAAGGAAGGGGTTAAAACACTTGAATAAGACACTAAACTAAGCCCCGGAAGGGGGGGTTAGTTTAGTGTTTTACTTAAGATTTTAAAACGCAACCAACCCCCCCCGAAGGGGGGATGGTCAAGTGTTTTAACCCTCCATTCGGGGGGTTAGTTGTAAGAAACTAAACTAACCCCGCCAAATGGATGCCGAGTATAAACAAATATAAGGTGGAATTGTTGATAACGTCATTTTTTGACGACGACAACGAGGAATCACAAATTTTTATAGTAAAAAAAGGAATATAGACACGTAACTTCCTTTAGTGTCCGAAAAAAGAATTTTCTCTATAGAGTTAATGTTGAAAGGATATAGGCTACGAGTTTGTGGAAAAGGCCTGACGATATTAAAGATGACATATTTGCAGTACTTTACAAAATACACAAACAAAAGTGGTGGAATATCTAATTAGAATGACGGATAACAAATTGTCGAAATGAATTTTGATTACTGTCTACGAAGATGATCAAATCAGGGGAGATGAGATGAACAAAGCATTTTGGCAACCGCGAAGGGACTAGAAAAGCGTATAAAACGTTGGCTGGAAAAAACTCGAATGACCTAGGAGTAGATGGAAATATATTATTCAAATTTATCTTTGCGAAATGTGGTCGGAGGGTTTAAGCAAGAGACCACTACCGGTTCCAACCGTTCAG